CATCTTGTTGAGCTCTGCAGCCCTACTGCTTCCAGGTAGAATTACAGATCTTGTGGGTCCTCTAGCCTTGATCTTCTCATACCCACACTGATTGAGGGTAACAGCATCCAAAACATCATTGTGGTTCCAAAACTTAAGCTCAGGTAAGGCAATGTTGAGATTGTCAAACAACTCAGTCAACATAAAACCATAAGGCATAGCATGCTTGGGTTTAGAAGTGTCTGCAGCTCTTGCCATGTGCTGAATTAACACGCTAGGAAGATTGATAGGTCTACCAGTGTCAAGCAGCTCTATCACAGGCATGTCCAGCAGAGTAGCTTCATGTCTTCTCTCAGACCTCTGAAGAATGCAGCAATTGACAAAATGAAACAATAATTTGTGAAAGGGAGTCATATCAGTATTGTACACTTTCCGGGGAGTATCTAGTTCAAACTTTTGAGAGAACTCTCTTGTGACCACAATGCTAGTGTCAACATCATTGTCTATGACTGGCCATTCTTTATTCAAGTAATTGTCGAATCCCAAGGAAGAGATATTCAGAAGCATCCCAGCTCCTCAGCATCAAACTCCATTTCAAATCCCCTATTTTACTCGTGACTACCTTCCCATCAAATTTGAAATTTGCATAGAACTCCACTACAGGAGGAACACATACTGGGGGGAAAGCTTTGACAAACATGTGCCTCCAACCCTGTAGCTCAAATTTTTCAACCAGTTGAGTCATCCCCTTCTCATCAGTGTTCGCAAGAATCTTCCCATTTAGCACTTTTATGTTCCTGATCTCTGTGAGTCGATCAACTGCAGCTGGCACATTCTTTCTTGTCTTACCCCTATTGGCCCTTGCAGAAGAGCTAGCATGTTTGGTGACTTTGGCACCCTTTCTTTTTGGTGTAGCATACTTAGCTGGCAATGCAGAGTCAGACTCGTCTTTTCCATCCACTTCAACAACAACTACCACAATTGAGACCTTCTTCTTTGGCTTATTTGTACTTATAGACTCCTTAATGATTTGTGCATCAACATCCTTTTTTTACTCCTTGTGAGAGGAGTTCTGACAGGAGGTAACTTTACATAGCCCATATTGAAGATCAAAATATGCAAGTTTAGCATAGCAAATCCCCTGCCAGAGCAGGTAGATAACTACTAGTTAAGATAGGCAACACAAATTGAAAGAATCTCCACATAAGTTTACTACATTAAACAACTTGAATAGTATCGATGTATGTGGGAGACTGATATATTCATCATAGTTCAAATGAATGGGAAATACTATGAAATTTGGAGAGATTAAAGCTAAAGAGAAAACATGAATAAAAGGGATTTAAACAAAAAGATAATGATGAGACAGACCTAATCGTTATTAGTGCAAGAGCCTTCAGGATATCGTCCTATGTTAAAGCCGCATAGCAAAAAGTATGTGGAGAAACTAAAATTGAGTTCATAGCAGAATCCGATATTCTAACCTTTTTCAGTATAAAATTATGAGTAGAAACTAAAATTGAAAATAGTAATGGATAACCATGGAGGTGGTGAGGAACAGTTGAATTCAAACCTTCCAAGCACCAAGAAACGGTGATAGTCTTCAGGAAATCCTCAATGCCGTCGACACCAACGGCTGACGTTGATTTCAGGAACCACCGTCCGCAAGAAAACTCTAAGAGAATTAATCAAAAAGCTACGACTGAGGAATTGGGGGACGTACAAATATCAATCATGACGAGCTGGTTCTTAGAACAATTAAGCAACTACGTTGAGAGGACTTGGTTCTTTGAACTTTAGTAATACCTTGTTAATCATCAAAAATTTCAATACTCAACAGGACAAATTTAACCAGTTTTGTTTTCAAGCCCATTTCTTACGTGCGTGAGTACACTCCCTTTTCCAAGCTCTTCATTAGCTCGATAAAGAACAATTCATTATAAAGTGAAACATAACTCTTTCTAATTCATGCGGAACAAATTTCTTCTAACAGTAAGACAAAGAAGTACGAGGAAAAAATAATGACACACAAAAAATCTTTCACTTTGCCTTACCAACTAGGAATTACCAACATTCACATCCTACATAAAAATTACTAGGCATGACAATTTGTAACGCAAAACATTTTAGTATGTGCTAAAACATCGTAATTAGTAGTAAAGTTGTTTTGTTTCACAAATTATAATAATAATGCAATTATGTGTGGGATGCCCACATGAACAATGAGCGAGCATTCTTCTTTATTCTTTATCATGAAAATGACTGTGTTTGATTTAGTAATTATGTTGAATTGTTATATTGGCTGTTTCCAATTTTGAACCATTGATGTAGTACACATACCTAGCAATTATCCAAAAAAGTTCATTTTAATGAACTGTTTGATTTATCAAATTCAAATTATATATAGTTAACGTCAACAATCTGAAATGTCCCTCTCTAGACCTATTAATCGACTATATACATGAATATGTTGTTTTCCTAAACTGCCCGGGGAAGGACCGCATTCCGAGGGATGTGATGTAAACCTATTATAATGCAAGCATTAATGGTTGCTTTCATGGGTCGAACTCATATTCTATAAGTCACACAAAAACAACTTTTACCTATACTGCTTGTACTTCTTATACTATTTCATTTTTCACTTATCAAAAATTCTCAAATCCTGTTATGTCGATTATTATTTTCTGCATTTCTTAATGATCACCTGAACGCAGTTCTTTGATGTTCAAAACGAGGATCGGTAGATTCTTTTGATCGACTAAGCTTTATCGAGGATGATGAAGCATTAAACACTTTTATCTAACTTTTAAATCACTAGTATTATAAATAAATAAAAAATTACACACCATTAGTGTATTTTAACCTATTCTATATGCCCGGTTTGAGTTGCCTTGGTCCTACGCCTTTGGAAAAATATCCACACGGCTATGAGATTATATGCCCTCGTGAGACATTGCCGGCAGCTACACCATGAATCCTCTACATGAGGCTGCCATCATAACGCAATGTGAGGCGCAGAGGAGTGATTATATAGCCAAGGCATATAAGTAACAATACCGGTGCTATTGTCCCCCTTATTTGTACTGTTCCTAATTGTTGTATTTTCTGTTATTTTCTTTTTTTAATTAATAAAAAAAAATAGCCCTAGGTGTTTGCCTAGCGGATTGCTGAAAAAAAAAACCTATTCTATTGTTATCAGGAAACGTTTTATCCCAAATGTGAGATTTTTCTGTGCGATTTTGAATTTAGCCGGGCCCCAATATGGGGAGAAATTAAAAAATAGCCAGATTTACAGTTGGTCGTTCAAAAATAGCTCAGTTTCAAAAGTAATCAAAATTTAGCCACTTTTCATGTAAAGATAAATCTGAGCTATAACACTGTTCAAAACCCGAAAAATACGCCAGTATATTATGCTGGAGTTCCAGCATAAGTATACTTGAACTCCAACATATTATACTGGAGTTCCAGGATAAGTATGCTGGAACTCCAGCATAATATGATGGAGTTCCAGCATAAGTACACTAGAACTCCAGCATAATATACTGGAGTTCCAGTAAGTATACCGGTCCAGCCTAATATACTGGAGTTTGGAGTACCGGTGCTCCAGTCTCCAGTATATTATACTGGAGCCAGCAAAGTATACGGTCCAGCATAATATGCTGGAATTCATACACAGATGCACCGAACTACAACAGCAACAACGACCCAGTATAATCCCACAGGTGGGGTCTGGGGAGGGTAATATGTACGCAGACCTTACCCCTACCCCGAAGGGTAGAGAGGATGTTTCCAGGAGACCCTCGGCTCAAAAAAGCAACAGGAGCCGATATATTAGTATCATAAAAATGCATAATAAAATAACTGCAATATAAGAGATATTAAATACAGAATACGAAATACGAAATACGAAATATATGGCTGGTATAGTAAAACTAGCAGGTAAAGCCCTACATCAATAGACGACCAATGACCTTCTTAGTCTAACTCCTAACTGGCTAGTCTCACTCTATTGTGCTGTAGAACTCCAGTATATTATACTGGACCGATATCTGTTGCAGAAAAATAGTGGCTATTTTTCATTGACTTGATAAACGCTGGCTATTTTAGAATGACCAATCCGAAAACTGGCTATACCGTGCTATTTTTACTCTAATATGGGTATAGGACAAGTCAATGAAAAATAGAACACAGATGCACCGAACTCCGGTATATTATACTGGACCGGTATCTGTTGCAGCAAAATAGTGACTATTTTTCATTGACTTGATAAACGCCGGCTATTTTGGAATGATCAATCCGAAAACTGGCTATGCCGTGCTATTTTTACTCCAATATGGGTATAGGACATCGGGCGGGAAACCAAAAAAAAATTCTATCGTCTGCTTATTTTCTAGGCTATTAATTCCTCTTATTATGAACATTTACCATATTTTCATTTTAGATCTTAGCATTAGCAACTTTATTCGTAAGAGAGGAGAGAGGAGAGAGGAGAGAGGGCTGGCGGCTAAGCAGTCAGCACTACCATTAAAAACCTCCCAGATAATTGCGAAAAAAATATTACGTACACATAAAATTTAATATTGTCTTTTATTTGTTAATTCAGAAGTTGAATTAACACTCTTGACTTAGTACAGATAGAACAGATCGATTCATAGGGGCTATAAATATATAAAAAAGAAACAATAATGGAGGAAATTTTATAATAGAGGTCAAATAAGAGCAGTACTAATTAAACAGACGGACATGGCAAGTTGTAATGTTACATCGTATTCGGCAAAGGCAGAGCCAGAGTGCAGGGTTCGGCAGAATCCAGTAGCTTTGATTTAAATTCTTTATTTTTTTAAAAAAATTCATTAAATATGTATAATTATTAATTTAGAACTCGGTAACTTACAACTATTAAAATCCGAACTTATAAGTTTGAAATCCTAGTTCTGCCTATATATTCCGCTCATAGCCGACGGTAAATACAAAATGCTCAGGTTTGTCAAATTCTCTCTATATATAAGCAAAAGCAAAAGCAAAAGCCGCAAAACATATTCATAGTAAGCTTTCCTGCTAATACAAACTTACACAAAAGATTGAAACATAGAAAATTAAAATGGATTCTTATTCATATGCATCTATTTCTTCTTCTTCTAATGCTTCTTCCTCTAGTTCTATTCCATATTCCACATATCCACAAGAAGTAAAGAAAAACAAACCATTACCTTCATATCATTCCTCACTTCATGGAGTTCGTAGGCTCCCATTAAAACCTATGACCAAACAACCAATTGCACCATTGCCACCGACACGTCCTAAAATTTACCGAGTAGAACCTGTTAATTTCAAGGAAGTCGTCCAAATGTTGACTGCTGCACCTGAGTTTCAATCCAGATCCGATTCTAGCTCTGGTTCTGATTTTGGTTCTGGCTCTGGCTTTGGCTCTGGCTCTAGTTCTAGTGCCAGCTCGAGGCGTTTACAAGATGTGGCTCCTCCTCCACTTGATCTCTCACCAGTTTCATTACCAAGAAATAGCATTGCTGCAGAATGGCGAGAGTTCCTTCGTCCTTCTTCCTCCTCAAACAACCGAGTTGAATCAGTTAGCACGGCCTGTAATGACTCAACAAATGAAGCACAAGAAAGATCACAACTAATAACGTCGCGAATTCCATCAGAGAATTATTTTGGAACATGCAGTCCGCTGGCTAATTTCCCTTTATCGCCTGCTTCTTTTGCATGGTGTTGTTCTATTCTTCTCAGCCCTAGCACTCTTACTTCACCACGCCCTATTCTTTAGCTCCTTTGCCATTGCCTCTTCTACTCATTTGAGAGTTTAATTGTTTACTTAATTACTATTATTTCCTGTTGTTTGTTGTTGCTACTATTTTACTTTGTGGGTAGATCAAGAATTTGAATTGGAACGTCTACAAAGAGATATCACAATTCAAGTACTTGAAGCTGCTTTTGTTCTTTTCTTTTTTTTTTCTTTCTCAACTTCATTAGATTGAGTATGATTTTTATTCTCACCAATCTCTTCCCATTACTAATTATGCATACTTTTTTTTTTCTTTCTCAAATGTCAAGATATTATAGAGATTTACAATATATGATACTCCCTCCGATCCAATTTATGTGAAAAGTTTAAGAAAAAATGAAAACTTTTTGAATTTGTGGTCCTAAACAAGTCAAAAGTGGTTCAGAATATTTGTGTGGTTATAAAAGCTTCTCATTAAGAGTAGAATTGAAAGTTTAAGCTAAATTGTTTCCAAATTTAGAAAGGAGACATTCATTTTTTAACGAACCAAAAGAAAATAAGTTCACTGAAAATTGATTAAGGGAATAGGTTTTACAACAATAAAGGAATAAAGAGTATGTAAAGTTTTATGATCAAAAGCTAATTATATGACAAAGTTGCATCTTCTTTCACCAAGTTAATATCTTCTAGTTCTTTTTATTTGATGGAAACTAATTATTCTAGCCCCATGTACAAGTTGAAGATAGCTCTAAAATGACTTAGATAATGGAAATTACATATGTAGCAATGAGTAAAGAAAAGTGTCCTTGAATTATATGAGAATTTCTACAAATTTTCCAAAAAATTTCAAAATATCACAGGATTTTCAAAACGTAGTAAACGATAACTACGTTTACAAGTATCATCTCTAAACATTCTAAAACATCATCTCACGTTGGATTAGCTAGAAATGGATGTTAGGGGACCAGTCGCAAAGGCAGAGCCAAAATTTTAACTGTATGAGGTCTACATTATAGAACGACTACTTTAAGTGTTAATAATTAGGTTTCAAATTTAAAGTATTGTATATATTTAATTAATTTTTGAACGTAAATACACGTTTGCTCGAAAATTGCATTTGTCAATTACGATTTCTCAGTCGCATTAGTAAATTACGATTTATAATTAAGTCTGTACTTGAAAATTGAAAAATGTGACTTTGCAATCGGCAAATACGACTTATACATAATCGCAATCCGCAATTGCGACTGATAAATGACAAATTGCGATTTATAAAGCACCATAAATCGCAATCGACAACTATGACTTATAAGTTACTTATTTTTCACAAAATATTTTCTACTATCTAACCAAACACCAAAAAATAAGTAAGAAAATCACTTATTTTCCCGAAAATAATTTTCCAACCAAAACACATCCATAGTCTAAAAATTGACTTGAATACATCCTACGTGATTTCCTATATGTATATTTTTATTCTGAGAAATCATTTGACTGCAAAACCATGGTTTGAGCAAGTCCTAAGGTTGGAACATTGGTATAATATTTTAATTCACCATGTGAAGGTACTAGGATTGGCTCCAGAAAAAAAGGTATTAGCTAGGATTCCTTTTCCGTTCCTCCTACCTTATCTAATCCAAAACCTTAAGAAAATGATCGTCCGGTGCACTAAGCTCCCATTATGTGCGGGGTTCGGTGAAGGGTCGGATCACAACGATCTATTGTATGCAGTTTTACTCTGTATTTCTGCAAGAAACTATTTTTACGGCTTGAATTCGCGACCTCCTGGTCACATGACAGCAACTTTACCAGTTACGTCAGATTCCCTTAAAATGTGAAACCTATGTCTTAAGAAATTTTTTATATCTAAACTGTGTATAAAAATCACAACGATTGGTGTTTTTATATTTCCACTTGTTTTTTTGCTGATGAAGGTACACACTCAATTCTTTTAGTAATTCATCTTGTAAACTTTGGAAATTCTAAGATCCTTTACTCAAAGAACTAAAAACATAAAAGAAAATGTCAAGACCTCTATCTCCATTTAAAAGTCATTTCAAACCATGTAATGCAAATACATGCCTCACGTAAGCAGAGACAGAGCTGGAATTTAAAGTTTATGAATTTTGAATTTGTCCCTAAACTTATAGATCATCTTGAATATTGGGTTCGCAATTAAATATTTATATATATCTGATAAATTTCTTACTACAAATATAAAATTTAAACAAAAATTATTGTATTCGTCCGAACCCGTAGCTAATACTCTCGCTACGCCCCTGCACCTAAGGCCACTATGAACAGGGGCGGACATAGCTTATGCAATACGATTTATGTGGATCAGATAGTTTTGCTAAACTTTGTGTATGTATTAAAAGCTTTACTAAATATTTGCATGTAAATTCACTTATTATTGTATCTTATAACTTCAAATCGCTATGAAAACTCATAAACATTAAATACTAGTATATATTATTGGATATAACCAACAAATCCATTTTACCACCAATGTGCTTGTTCAATTAAGAGCTTTACATGGAGGACTTCACATAGTTATGCAATATAAATTTGGCAGTTTCTAAATTCTTCTAGAAGTTTTGTTCCTTTAAAGGATTGAAATAAGTGTCTTGGGCCTAATAATGAAATTCTCTAGTTTGACTAAAAACATTTGGTAGCAAATACACGCACCAAATTGAATACTGTCAATATCTCGCTGCTAGGGCAACTAATTAATTGTCTCTAGTTTGTTACTTTATATAGTTGTATCTTGCTAAGACTAAAGAAATATTTTGAGTATAATTTATATATTTTGTTCTACGAAGATTTTATCGGAGAAAAAACTCGAATAATCCGAAAACCCGAGAGTGAAAAACCCGAGTTTTAGTGGTTTGGTTTGGTCTTTAAATTTAATAATCCGACAATTGGTTTGGTTTGGTAATTGTAAAATCCGAACCAATCCGACATATATGCACCCCTAGTACTAACTATAACTTAAAAAGAGATAAAATACTAATGACAAAGTTAGGATATCAAAAAACAAGTATAATATAAAATAACAAATGAAGACTAAGCTTTCTCGACGATGATGAAGTATAAAATACTCTTGTTAAAGTATGGATAACTCATAATTGTGCTATATGCTTCTTTCTCAAATTAATTACTCCTAAGAGTTTTAACTTCTTTACTCTGACAGTTGATAACTTTTTTCAAGATGACCTACAACAATAGATAACTTATTTATGTCAACCCAGTCCAAGAATAATATTGTCCCCTTTGGATTTAGCTCCCACGGTTTTAAAATATGTTATTAGGGTCTAAGTCTTGTTTACTTTTATAATCAGCTCAGCCCAGCCCAGCCATTAGTGATATTATCTGCTTTGGGACCTGGCCAACACGACTTTAAAATGCGTCAATAGAGTCTAAGGGTTGTTACCCAATATCTCTCCCATATTTTGTCGATGATTCGCCTGGGATACACATTATAATAAAATATAAATTGGTAATACAGAAAAAAAATACCCCATTAAATGACCTACTATAATAAGTTGAAATAATGCATTAATAGTTTGAAAATCAATTACACTATCAATGGGGTGTGTGTTAAAATATACACACACATGTGTGTGTGTTAAATTCACCAAATAATATCCACTTTACACGTGAAGCAGGCACTATGACACTATCACTATAAGTAGATTGTATAAATTTTTTAACTATATTTTCCGGCAACCACAAGGTAACAGAAAAACTCTACCAATATATTCATATAAGATATGAGCATTTGAAAACTTATTCATTAGGAGAGGCCACAGAGGAGAGGGGCCTGGCGGCTAAGCAATCAGCTTACAGTACCACCAGTAAACACCTCCCAAATAATTGCGAAAAAATCATATTAAAAGCTAGATACAGAATTAACATTTTGTGACTTAATTAGCAAATGAGATGGATGGATCCCTTTGCCCTTAGCCCGACGTCTCAAGCTTCGAGTCCTGGAAATTGGGAAATTCATGATAGAAAGTGTTTTGTGACGCCCATAACGGAGGGCGGACTGAGGGCAGATCAAGTAGGGCTGACAGGATTCTGGGCTGGCAAACTTCTAAAGAAGGAGTGCACATATCACCTTAAGCAAATCTCATATTGGAATAGAAAAGGAAATTAAAGAGCTTTATAACAAATTTGCATGGTGCACAAGCTTTTGTAGCTCGATATGGCATAGCCCAAGGGACAAATCTGTAAGATCTGTTGGGCTAAAACGGACAATACGTGCCATGGCTTGGATTATGACATGTTTCTCCCTTAAATGGATTCTACATAGTACGATTTTGGATTAGACGAATAATAGATTCTGAATACTAAATGTGTAACGACTCGGCTAGTCGTTTTGAGAGTTGTAGCCCCATTGCCCCATTTTCTGCTCATTTTGTACTTTACAGTTATTGTATGACTTACCGGGTTCGTCGGTTCGGGTCCGGAATGATTTCGGAATGAATTGAGACACTTAGTCTAAAAGTTGGAAGCTTAAGTTGAAAAGGTTGACCGGATGTCAACTTATGTATAAACGACTCCGGAATGGAGTTTTGATAGTTCTGTTAGCTCCGTTGGGTAATTTTGGGCTTAGGAGCGTGCCCGGATCGTGGTTTTGAGGTCCGTAGTTGAATTAAGCTTGAAATGACAAAAGTTGACAATTTGAAAAGTTTGACCGGGAGTGGACTTTTTTATATCAGGATCGGATTGGGATTCCGAAAGTTAGAGTAGGTCCGTGGTATCTTTTGTGACTTGTGTGAAAAATTCTAGGTCATTCGGATGTGATTTGATAGGTTTCGGCGTCGTTTGTATAAGTTGGAAAATTCCTTAGCTCATTACGCTTGAATCTATGTGCGATTCGTACTTTTGATGTTGTTTGAGGTGGTTTGAGGGCTCAACTAAGTTCGAATCGTGTTTTAAGACTTGTTGGTATGTTTAGTTGAGGTCTTGGGGACCTTGGGTTTATTTCGAATGGTTAACTGATTGAAATTGGAAGTTGGTGCATTGTTGAAGCAGGAGCCCTTCTAGTGTTATCGCACCTGCGAGGGATTAGTGCAGGTGCGATGCCGCAGATGCAGATGGATGAGCATATGTGCGGAGATGGGCTAGCCTGGGCAAGATACAGGTGCGAAAGGTTGACCTCATCTGCGAGTCCGCAAGTGCGAGCAAGGCTCCGCAGATGCGGTGTTGAGAGAGGGGGTTGATTCCACAAAAGCGGACTAATGGCCGCAGAACCACTTCCGCAGGTGCAGAACCTGGAGCTCAGCTGCGGGCCTGGGGGACTTAAGTGTTTTCCGCAGAAGCGTAGGATTTACCGCATGTGCGGATAAAAACAAGGGTTCACGATTTTGGCTTCATTTCAACATTTTGAACTCGGGTTTATGCTATTTTGAAGAGGCTTTTCGAGGGGATTCTTGAGGTAAGTCCCTTACGCTCGTCTTTGATCAATAATCTTGTTTCTCATTTATTTTTCCACCTAGAGAGTGTGTATTTACGGTGTAAATTGGGGGTTTGAGGTTAGTGGATTGGAGGGTTGATTTGGGGGATTTGGGTAACAATTTGGTGTCGAATTTTGATAAATTTGGTATGGTTAGACTCGTGGTTGAATGGACTTTCGGGTTTTGTAACTTTTGCTGGATTCCGAAACGTGGGTACGGGGGCCGGCTTTGAGCCGATTTCGAATTTTTGATTAAAAACTTCGTATTTTCTTGTGGAATTGATTCCTTAGCCCGTGTTGATTGTATTGTATTGTATTGTATTGTATTGTATTGTTTATGACTAGATTCGAGACATCTAGAGGCCGATTTGCGAGGCAAAAGCGTATTGGAGTAGTGATTTGCTTGGATTGAGGTAAGTAACAGTTCTAAATTTGGTTCTGAGGGTATGAAACCCCGTATTATATGTCTCATGATTGGTTTGGAGGTGATGCACATGCTTGGTTCTGAGGGTATGAAACCCCGTATTATATGTCTCATGATTGGTTTGGAGGTGATGCACATGCTAGGTTTGGAGGTGATGCACATGCTTGGTTCTGAGGGTATGAAACCCCGTATTATATATCTCATGATTGGTTTGGAGGTGATGCACATGCTAGGTGACGGGCGTATGGCCGTGCACCGTAAAAATTATGACTTGGTCCGTTCCGTGGAACTATGAAGTTGAATAATTTGTTGTTTGCTAATATGCTCTTCATATGTTATAGAATTTGACTGCAAAGCATGTTAGAAATTATGTTTAGACTAAAGGCTGGTACTGTAAAGGGGGTCGGGTACTTGTTGAATTATTTGCTAATTGATGTTTTGTGCTCAGTCACGGTCTTTTTTGCATATCCTATCTCAGTTTCTTCTTGTTTCTTGCTGATACATTACATCATTCTGTTTGAGCTGATTTTTATGATTTTTGAGAGACCCAGAGACTGGAGAGGTTGGTGACTGAGTTAGGGCCTGAGTGCCGAGCTGTGAGCGATATGTATATATGTGGATGGGGTTGCACTCCACAACGATCCATAGTGCTGCATGTATGTGAATCGGGTTGGCACGCCGCAACAAGCCTTAGGGTTGTATATATGTGGATTTGCACGCCGCAATGAGCCTTATGGCTATATATATATTTGTGGAATCGGGCTGCACGCCGTGGCAATATAGCGCTTGGGCTGAAGGAGCTCCTCCGGAGTTTGTACATACCCCCAGTGAGCACAGGTAACTATTGAGTACGAGCTATTGAGAAAGATTGAGTGGCTGTTGCTCTGAGAGGATGCTCTTGATTTTATTATTGTTGTCGGGAAGTTTTCTGAAAGATGTTATATTCTGTTTTACTTGAATTTGATATGAGATGACTGATTTGGCCTAAATTATCGAAATTGAAAGCATGCCTATTTTTCCTATGTTGAAATTACCGAAATTGAGCTATAACTACAGAGCTTGTCACTATTTTCAGTTCTTTATTTAGTATTGTTACTTATTGAGTTGGTTGTACTCACGCTACACCTTACACTTCATGTGCAGATCCAGGTATTTCCGGACACGGTGGGTGTTGATATTATGCGCAGTTGATCCTTGGAAGAATTCGAGGTAGCTGCCCGGCGTTCACAGTCCTTGTTTTCTCCTTTCCTATCTTTCCTTTTTATTGTATCTAGTTTCGGAATATCTTAGATACTATATTCCAGACCTGTGACACTTAGATACTCATGTACTCTGTGACACGTCGATTTGGGAGTTTTCCACGTTGTGTTTGGATCTTTTTATCATGTTTAAGAGAAGTTGCTATTTAAAACTGCTTTAAAAATCCATTTTTGTTAAAGTGTTGGAGTTATTCGTAAATGTCGGCTTGCCTAGTACCACGATAGGCGTCATCACGATAGATTAAGATTTTGGATCGAGACAAAATAATTAAATAAAAAAATAGAAAAAAATGCCAAGATAGAACGGAGCGATTCAAAGGGACTATATATGTAAGAAAAAAACAATAATGGAGGCAATTTTATAATAGAGGTCAAATAAGAGCTGTATTAGACATACATATAGCAAGTGGTAATGTTACATCGTATTCAGCCATAGCCGACGCTTTAGACAAATTTCACTTATTCTAATAAATTTGTCCAGATTATTTTAATCTTCTATCTTTTTCAGGTATTCATTTAAAAAGAAGTTTCTATATATATAAGGAAAAGCAAAAGCCGCAAAAATATATTCATAGTAAGTTTTCTTGCTAATACAAACTTACACACAAGTTTGAAACATAGAAAATTAAAATGGATTCTTATTCATATGCTATTTCCTCTTCTTCTAATTCTTCTTCCTATAGTTCTAATCCATATTCTACATATCCACAAGAAGTAAAGAAAAACAAACCATTACCTTCATTTCATTCCTCACTTCATGGAGTTCGTAGGCTCCCATTAAAACCTATGACAAAACAACCAATTGCGCCATTGCCACCGACACGTCCTAAAATATACAGAGTGGAACCTGTTAATTTCAAGGAAGTCGTCCAAATGTTGACTGCTGCACCTGATTTTCAATGCAGCTCCAATTCTAGCTCTGGTTCTGGTTTCAGTTCTGGCTCTGGCTCCAGCTCGAGGCGTTTACAAGATGTGGCTCCTCCTCCACTTGATCTCTCACCAGTTTCATTACCAAGAAATAGCATTGCTGCAGAATGGCGAGAGTTCCTTCGTCCTTCTTACTCTTCAAACAACCAAGTTGAATCAATTAGCGCGGCATGTAATGACTCAACAAATGAAGCACAAGAAAGATCACATCTAATAACGTCGCGAATTCCATCGGAGAATTATTTTGGATCATGCAGTCCGCTGGCTAATTTCCCTTTATCGCCTGCTTCTTTTGCATGGTGCTCTTCTCTTCTTCTCAGCCCTAGCACTCTTACTTCACCATGCGCCGTTCTTTAACTCATTTGCCATTGCTTCTTCTACTCATTCGAGAGTTTGTAACTTATTATTGCCTGTTGTTTATTAGTGCTACTATTTGCTTGTGGGTGATCAAGAATTTGAATTTGAATGTCTAGAAAGAGATATCACAATTCAAATATTTGAAGCTGCTTTTGTACCTTTTTTTTTTTTGCTTTTATTTCAATTGTATGCTATGTTGCTCGGACTCTCCGAAAATGTTGTGGGGTGCGTGTTGGATTCTTCAAAAGCAGTGTATTTTTGGAGAATCCAACACGGGTACGGTAGTATTTTGGAGAGTCTGCGCAACATAGATTGTATGTCTAGAAGTTAAAAGAAGAGATTTGTTTTACTTATGCGTATACTTGTTCATTGGATTGAGGATAATTTTTCTTCTCAACAATCTCTCCCTCTTTTTTTTGTTTATAGGTTTTGTAGAATAGAGATATATTAGAGGAAGAGTATACGTATTGAAAAAAGAAATATCGATATCATTTAGACATTTACAATGATATTAGATAACAAAAAAATAAAATAAGAAGAAGCAATAATATTGCGAAACAAATTAAAAACGAAACAGGGAAGTACAACTAAAAGCCAGGAATTAGCGACGGACAAATTCTGTTGCTAAACAGTAAAATTCGTTGCTAATTCTACTTAGCTACGGATTAACGACAGATTATCAAAAAAATTTGTTAGCTACGAGTAATTAAACGATAAAACGGCGACGAAGTTCATAGTTAATTACAGTTCGTATATATACAACCATTTGCCTAAAGTCAGTTAGTTTGCAATTGTACAGGAATGTATCTCACTCGTTATGATCAGAATAACTACAAATGCCAAAGTTACAATTTGAAAATTGATTAGGGGAATAGGTTATTTTATGAGAATAAAGGAGTAAATAGAATTAAAAGATATTATGTAAAGTTTTATAATCAAAGCTAATATACATGACAAAGTTGCATCATTTTTCACCAAGTTAATATCTTCTAGTTCTTTCTATTTGATAGAACCAATTATTATAGCTATGTACAAGTTGAAGATAGAGCTAAAAGGATTTGATTATGGAAATTACATATGTAGCAATGAGTAAAGAAAAGAAGGACTACTTTAAGTGCTAATAACTAGGTTCCAAATTTAAAGTATTGTATATATTTAATTAATTTCTGAACGCAATACATTGTTTGCACGGAAATCGCATTTGTCAATTACGATTTTCAAGTCTTTAGTCAATTGCGATTTATAAATCGTATTTGCAAATTGAAAAATGTGAGTTCGCAATCAGCAAATACGACTTATAATCGCAATCCACAATTGTGACTTATAAATGGTAAATTGCGATTTATAAAGGACTATAAATCGCAATCGACAACTGTGACATATAAATTACTTATTTTCCACAAAGTATTTTCTGTTATTTAACCAAACACTAGAAAATAAATAAGAAAATCACTTATTTTTCAGAAAAATATTTTCCAACCAAACACATCCCTAGTCTAAAAATTGACTTGAATACATCCTACCTGATGTCCTATATGTATATTCTGAAAAATTATTTGACTGCAAAACCATGGTTTGAGCAAGTCCTAAGGTTAGAAAGATTATTGTGATATTTTAATTCACCATGTGAAGGTACTAGGAATGGTCCAAGAAAAAAAGTAATAGCTAGGATTCTTTTTCCAATTCTCCTACCTTATCTAATCCAAAACCTACGTTTTAAGAAATTTTTTTAATGTCGAAACTGTATTAAAATCACAATAATTGGTGTTTCCATATTTCACTTGTTTTCTGCTGATGACTTGATTCTACTTAGGTTGACCAAATTAAGAACTGTGACTCAATCATCGACACTCTCAATTTTTTTTTTAAAGTTATTTTTGTTGGGTTTTTTAAGTATATTAATACTTAAAAGAAGGTGAATGGGAAATGGAGGGAAAATGAAATATTTGAGTTTTATTTGAGATTCTCTCCTTGATGAAGGGACATTCTCCCATATTGGAGGAGGAAGAGGTTTTTTATGAGTATATAAGCAATTGCTCTTCTTCTAGCTCTTAAAGAGTTGAGAAGAAGGCAAGCCTTGCGCCGCCGCCGTCGTTGCTCGGCTCGACTTCGGCTTCGGTCAAATGATTGATTGATTAATTTTTTGGACCAAATTTATTTTTAATAATAAATATTAACACAAATATTATTAAATATCCGTTTTAATAACACAATATTAATATTAAATCCAACTGTTTTTCATTTTTCCGTTTTCTGTTTTTGTAACAGAAAATTAACCACCCTCTTCAATTTCCGGTTTATTATTTCATAAATAAGTCATTTATGTTATGGCATTTATGCTATGGCCGTTTTGCATAAACAGTCATTCTGAAGAGTTGTACCTCTTCAGTTTTCAGTCCAACATTGGCTATAAATACAAGTCCATTCTCTCAAAATTTTAATACGATTTTCTGAGTTCTCCTCCTTTCTTCGGCATAGTCTTAACATTAAAAAAAGAAACAGTAAGTGTGATTCGCTACGGAACTTTGTATTCGCTGAAATACCGGGGTTTGAAATACCACTACACCAGTGTGTAATTTGTTCTATCCTTGGAGAAAATAATCCATAACCTTGGGTACTAGGAAGGGATTAAATTTCTTAAGGAAACACTATAAATTCAGTGGGCTCGGATTAATTTTTATTTCGTTTACATTTTCTGTTTATATTCTTTTCTAGAATTAGTTTACAAATACATTATATGAACAAGCTTAAGAAATTTAATTATTTTCTGTATTTGTATTATATTTACTATTCTGGAGATTAAAACCTTTGTGATTTTATGCTCCGTTGGAGATTAAAATCTACGTGATTTTAACGTGTGCTAGTGTCATTCTTTTACAGAAATGACTAATGATAATGAAACCCAAGCTGTTTCAATGGTGACTGCCAATACGTCGACAAGCCGAACACCAGCATTGGCACCGGCATTGAAAGAATTATGTTCTTAACGGACTGGAGGACGATCTGTATAACGTCTACAGTGGCGTGGAAATATCAAAAGAATTGTGGACTGCGCTTGAAAAGAAATATAAAACTGAAGATGCAGGGTTGAAGAAATTCGTTGCCGCTAAATTTTTGGATTACAAAATGGTAGATAGCAAGTATGTTATTACCCAAGTCCAGGAATTGCAAGTGATTATTCACGATCTCCTTGTTGAAGATATAAATCGAATTAATTCGGATGTTGACAGTAGTAATTTTTAGTATTTTTACTAACAGAATTTTCATTGAAGGTCTTGTCATCAATGAAGCATTCCAAGTAGCAGCGATGATTAAGAAGTTGCCTCCTTTGTAGAAGGACTTCAAAAATTACTTGAAACACAAACGAAATGAGATGTCCCTGAAGATCTCATTGTTCGGTTGAGAATCGAAGAAGACAACAAAGTTGCTGAAAAGAGAGGCCGTGGAAACTCACAATAATGGGAGCAAATATTGTCGAGGATACTTCTCAAAATAAGAGAAAGATGAAGCAGGCTTCTGGACCAAAAAGCAACCCAAGCAAAAAGCGGTTCAACAAAAATTACCACAACTGTGGGAAAGCTGGACACAAATCTACGGAGTGTCGTGCTCTGAAGAAAGACAAGAACAAGGGTCAAGCAAACATGGTTGAAAAACATGAAGATATTGATGACTTGTGTGTTATGCTTTCTGAATGCAACCTGGTGGGAAATCCTAAGGCGTGGTGGATTGATTCGGAAGCCACTCATCATGTTTGTGCTGTTAGGGAAGCTTTTGCTACATATGCTCCTGTTGGACCCGAAGAGCCGCTTTCTATGGGAAATGCTGCAACGACCAAGATTGAAGGATGTGAGAAGATTTTTCTGAAAATGACTTCTGGCAAGGTGGTGACCTTGAACAATGTCATTTATGTTCCCGAGATTAGGAAGAATTTAGCCTCTGCTGACTTCTTGTTAAGAATGGTTTTAAGTGTATTTTTGTATCCGATAAGGTTGTAATAAGTAAGAAGGAAATATTTGTAGGAAAAGGTTACCTCACTGAGGGCATTTTCAAGCTGAATGTAATGGTTGTTAAGAATAATAATAAAATTTCAGCTTCGTCTTACTTACTTGAGTCAAATGAATTATGCCATATACATTTGGGTCATGTCAATTGTAAAACCTTGCGGAAAATGATTAACTTGGAAGTATTGCCTAATTTGAATGCGATAAATCAAAATGTCAAATATGTGTGGAATCTAAGTATGTTAAGCATCCTTATAAGTCAGTTTAACGGAATTCAAATCCTTTAGACTTAATTCACACATATATTTGCGACATGAAGTCAATACCATCTCACGGTGGAAAGAAGTATTTCATAACTTTTATTGATGATAGTACTCGATGTTGCTATGTTTACTTACTTAATAGTAAAGATGAAGCAATAGACGTATTCAAGCAATACAAAAATGAAGTTGAAATGCAACTTAACAAGAAAATCAAAATGATAAGAAGTGATAGGGATGGTGAATATGAATCTCCGCTCGAACAAATATGTTTAGAGTATAGAATTATTCATTAAACAACGGCTTCTTACATGCCCCAATCCAATGGGATTGCAAAAAGAAAGAATCATTCATTAAAGGAGATAATGAACGCATTGCTGATAAGTTCTGGTTTGCCACAAAACTTGTGGTGGGAAGCCATTCTTACGGCTAACTGGATACTAAATTGAGTACCCCATAGCAAAACACAATCCATTCCATATGAAAAATGGTAAGGAAGGAAGCCCAACTTGAATTATTTTAAAGTGTGGGGGGTGTTTGGCAAAAGTGTAAGTTCTTAAACCCAAAAGAGTAAAAATAGGACCGAAAACCGTTGATTGTCTTTTCATAGGATATGCGACCAATAGTAAACCATATCGATTTCTGGTTCATAAATTAGAAAATCCCAACATTCATAATAATACGGCTATAGAATCAGATAATGGTGAGTTCTTTGAAAATATATACCCCTATAAAAAGGAATGTGATTCGATTGGTGAAGGATCTAAACGACCTCGGGAAGAAACAAAAGAAAGTACATTTAATCAGGAGGATTAAAGACGTAGTAAACGTCAAAGAACGTCTACTTCATTTGGACCAGATTTTGTGACTTTCTTATTGGAAAATGAGCCTCAAACATTTAAAGAAGCTATATCTTCTTCGGAATCATTATTTTGGAAAGAGGCAGTCAATAGTGAAATAGAATCTATATTGAACAACCATACATGGGAATTGGTTGATCTTCCTCCTGGAAATAAACCTTTAGATTTTAAATAGATTTTTAAAAGCAAAATGATATGGTGGCACTATTGATAAATATAACGCAAGACTTGT